TTTTTGCAAAGCATTGTCCAAATAAAATAGGCATAATATATAAATATATCTTTTAATTTGTCTTCCATACTAAGACGAATGGATCTATTTGTTTAATTTATACAAGCTTAAGTGTCTATTTATACATAATTAAAAGTGAAGGGCATAAATATTTTCTTAAGCTACATTAAAAACACATTTATGTATCATCCCTTCTTTAAGAAGGGTTTCATTTTGGGGAAATTGAGGCCGAGTGAAGTGAAAATGGGGCGATTAGTTTTTCAGGATCTTGAAGGCAAAACCTTCAATTGCAAATTCTGCAAAACCAAACTTGCCCGTGCTGATCAACTTATTACCAAGGTACAATTTTTCCCCTTTTATTTTTTATTTTTTTGTTGAATGACTAGATCTAGCTATGTTAAATCCCGATCTTTCATTTGACATGGCTAAATATCCTACAAGTGAAAATCTCACCTTTTTTATAGGTAGTAAATACGTAATTTTTATTAGTTTAGTGCAAATGTAATGCGTTTCTTGTTAATTCAGAAGTGTCAAATTTACGATTTCATCATTTCTCATCATGAATTTGAAATTACCATTAGGAAAATGGTTAATTGAGTTACGGATGGAAGAGAGTGCAGATTTTATTTGTCTCTGAAAAATGTTGCTGATTAGATCCAGAAATGAGTGACCACTTCATGAGAGATAGCAGTGACGTGTGAAGATGTTTGGAAGCTCTCAAGCTTGTTGGATCATGTCGATTTTATGTATATTTAGAGATGTTTGAACAAAATAGTTCATAGTTTAGCTAGATTTTCTATTTCTTTTTTGAAGGAGATCTCTTGGGAGAGGTTTTTCCCAAATTGGATTGTGCATGATGCTAAGGGTACATTGAATTTCGTAGTTTTTGATGCAATAATATGAAGTGTTAATTTTCGTTGAAAAAGTTCATGAATCTGACAAGTTTAATGTTGGTTGCCAAGCATACATTAACCCTCCTCTTTTGTTTAAGCGTGAAACTCATTAAACACGTTCTTTTAGATAAGAACTCAATTGTAGATTCTTCTTTTCTACGTGTGCTAAAAGCAAAGTTGCATTTGGGATCTGGAGGTTTGGGGATGCAACTATTCTTTGAAGATAGACATCTTGCTATTTAAACAGGGAAGGTAGTCTTCTCTTTTATAAGTTAATAAAACAAAAATCTGCGCCACATGTATAAATAAGCCGGTTTTCTACTTTGTTTTTATGGAATTTAACACTCAATTCTGTGGGCTTAACTCCAAATCCTTAAAACCCCTCTAAGCCTTGTACTTTTCATCCATTCTATAAGAAGTGTTTCGGTTTGGGGAAATTGAGGCTGTGTTAAGTGAAAAATGGGGAGATTATTTTTGGTGCATCCTGAAGGCAAAACTTACAATTGCAAATTCTGCGATGCCAAACTTGGTCACGTTGATTCACTTGTTTCAAAGGTACAATTTTTACCCTTTTAATTGTTTTTTGTTGATTGACTAGATCTAGCTATGTAAAATCCTGATCTTTCATTTTATATGGTTTTTGGTACATCCTGATCTTTCATTTGACATGGTTTTTGGTACATCCTGATCACTTTTTGGTACAAGTAAAAAATTTCACCTTTTGTATAGGTAGTAATGAGTTGTTTTATGTTGTTCAGTGCAAATGTAATGCTTTTCTTGTTAATTTAGAAGTTTCAAATTTTACGAATTTGTTTCGGTTTCAATTTTTTTTTACGAATTTCTCAATCCTCATCATGAATTTCAATTGACCATTAGGAAAATGGTTGATTGAGTTAGGGATGGTAGTGTGAAGATTGTATTTGACTCTAAAAAATTGTTGTTGAAATGATCCAGAAATGAGTGACTACTTCACTAAAGATAGAAGTGACGTGTGAAGACACTTGGAAGCTTTCAAGCATGTTGGATCATGTCGATTTTATGTATATTCATAGATGTTTGAACAAAATAGTTCATAGTTTAGCTAGATTTTTTATTTCTTTGTTGAAGCAGATCTCTTGGGAGAGGTTTTTTCCAAGTTGGATCCTGCATGATGCTAAGGGGTACATTTAAATTTTGTAGTCGTTGATGCAATAATACAGATTGTTTAGTTTCAGTGAAAAAGTTCATGAATCTGACGAGTTTTATGTTGATTGCCAAGCATACATTAACCCTTCTCTTTTGTTTAAGCGTGGCACTTATTAAACATGTCGTTTTAAATAAGAACTTAATTGTAGATTCTTCTTTGTTGTGTGTACTAAAAGCAAAGTTGCATTTGGGATTTGGAGGTTTGGGGTGGGACATTGTTTTGAACATAGACATCTTGCTATTTAGCTACTCCAAATAGATTAAACATTAGGTTGATTTGATCAACTTTGAGCTTCGGTTCGGTTTATTTGTCTCTTTTTTTCTTTCTATTCATATAGATAAATCGATCGGATGGGAATAATGTAGTAATTATGACAACTTGGAACAAAGCATAAAGGTTCCAATAATGTTATCAATATTGAATATACATCATTCATTTAGAAATACCCTCGACGAGTTTTCTTTTTTTATACGGCCAATGATTTTACCTTGGAAAATATTCCATACTTTATGTAATAAACTGAACAATCATTATTCTCAAAGCAAGTAAAATTAATTGAAACTCAAGAAGTTTCTTTAATCTCATTGTGTATGAACTGTCAGTTTACTTTCTTTGTCGTGGTATATTGCATGAGAAAATTGTGTTTTGTTCTTTGCTATATAAATTGCATTTCATTTTGCAATGTTTAACTATGTCTGACAAAATCTCCTTTATGCTATTTATTCAGGCTTTACATTGCAGCAGTGGAAGAGCATACCGGTTCAATAAAGTGTGAGTTTCATATTGATAGTATACATTGCTATTTCATGAATCTGTATTTTTGTTTTACTGGTGATTTTATTTGTCGATAAACCTGCTTCCATTCGTGAATGACAACTGGTGCTTTCTTTTTGGGGCTTGTACGTTACAGTATCTGTTGTCGGGAGAAAGTGCTGATTAATATGTTTGGCGCATCATTCGGACGCAGTTGATAGGTGTTTCTCCTAATTGGTTAAGTGTTACGTCACCATTAACAACCTGTTGCGTCTATTTCCAGTGAGTTATAGGCAATCAATCATTTTCATTCAACAGAATACCATTTGTGACCAGTTACCAGTTTCAAAAAAGAAAAGAAAAAAACAAGAATGCCATTTGTGACCAAGTATATGTGGAATGAATGATATTGCCTGTCCGGACATTTTTCTTTCTGACATTGTAGGGGTTTATTTAATAATACTACCAAGATGGTACAAAAAGTACAAGCCACCAAAAAGACAAGTAGCAACCCTTCTTTATTCTTATTATTATTCCTTTAAATTTCGGGGGTGTGGGGTTATAGATATAAATGGCTATTGCAAAGAAATGCACTTGAGAGCTGAGGCGTGTAGGAACTTCTCACATTTGATTTAAAATGCTTTGTCATGCTTTCTATGGTATTTTTTAGTGATTTCTTTTTCAATCTTCTTTGATATGTTTATCCTTGAGCCAAGGGTCTATAGGAAACAACCTCTCTACCTCCAAAGTTAGGCGTATGATTTGACACACTATACCCTCCCCAGACCCCTGCCTGTTGGATTACATTGGGTAAGTAGTAGTTGTTGTTGATTGCAAGTTCCAATGGCTCGCTCAACATCAGCATCAGCTAGATATTATGTGCATTTGAGCATGACTGTTTGACTTAGGCTATACGGTTTGCTTAATTGTCAGAGGTATGTACTGTACGTACATACATATGTATTATGCTTGAATTCTTCTTGCCCGTCTATTTTCAAGATTTTGGTTTCCTTGGATTAGCCTGGCTGCCCAGATTGTATGTTGTCATCAGCAACTATAGTTCAAATTTTCATAGTTTCATAAATGAGTTATCGACTTAGCAAGTCAAAACATGCTGGATGGAATCTGTACTTTTGCATGGTTGCTTGGTGTAGACTGGAGTTTTCCGAGCGGCTGTAGTTGGTAGAAGGCCAGTTTCCTTTTTTAAAGATGTTGCTATGTTTGAAGCTTATTTTCTGACAGGAAGCTAATCTGAATCATCTTACTGCGGAAGCTTGTTTTTTAATTAGGGGTTGCATGAAATAGTTTATGTCATGGTGGGTAAGTGGTGATCACTCCAGGGGCACAATCTAGTTCAGTGGTCTTCTTTACTTGGCTTTCTTGATTTGTGCAAGAGATGTTGTTGTTAGCTCCATTTTCTGTTCTTTTATCCTTCCTCGGCCTGATCAGATTATGTTTCTTTTCCAATTCACATGATGGAATTTTTCACGTTTCTTTCTTTGTGTTATTCAGGGTAAATATAACTTTTGGAGAGAATGAGGAGAGGACGTTGCTTTCTGGAACGTACACTGTGAAGGATATATTTTGTCGTATCTGTGGGCAGATTCTTGGCTGGAAATATGTAATTCCTCTCATCCCCTCTTCTTTTTCCATAAGCACCAACACGTAGAGCCAAAAAAACATACAACCATGGGAACTCACGCACACACACAAATTTCCTTTTATTGTCTTTTGGGGGATACGAATCGGTGTATATATGTTAAACTCACACAGTATATGTAACACGCGTAGTTCTATTAACGACTAATATTTGTATCTTGTTTACACAGGAGAAATCCCATGAGGAAAGCCAGAAGTACAATGAAGGGAAATTTGTCCTTGAAAGGTTTAATTACTCTCTCATCCTCTTTGTATTTTATATTAAATAAAATAGTTACGTTAATTGTTAATTCGCATTACATTGTTATCGTAAAAAAATCAATATGCTCATTTGAAGTGTTCTTAATATAGCATTTCTATGTTGTTGATAATGTGTGTCGAACAGAGTCAAGATCATTGATGACGATGACGATGAATTCTACATTGATTACTCGTTCAAGCTCAAGTGATGATGAAGATGAAGATACAGTGTAAATTGTGGGAGCTTAGTGCACCAATTTGCAGATACTTGTATCTTATAAACTTAGCAAAAGAATAGTTGTATCTTATCTGGAGATCTCAGTTGTATCTTATCTGTAGATCTCCCCAAGTTTGTGGATGTTAAAACTAAGTTGCTGCAGAAGTGTTCTCTAATCAATATGAGCTTGACTTGTGTTAAATGTTTTATTGGCCTTGCATGTTCTTTCTGCTTCATTATATTATTCTGCTCAGCATGGTTCGATCTGCTTTCTATTGTTTGTTGTGGTTTATTTAGGAGTCTACTTGCTTACGCTTTAAGAAAAAAATCAAATATATATATTAAATAGGGATCAAATATCACTCGATTGAGTTTGGTGTGCCCATTGTGGTATCTCAAAAAGAATGTGAATTATATATATAAATTCATATAGGGATCAACTTTTACTCGATTGAGTTTAATATAGCAGGTGTGCGGAATACAGAAAGGATGTTACTTGTTAGGGGATGTCCCCCATTTGGTCCTTTTTTTCTCCAATCAAATTCATGAATATTTGTAGATTATATCTCTATCCGGTTTGCGAGCTATTGATCTTTTTAAGAATTATTAAAATAATAATAAGAAAATATACAATTTCTTTTGTATGAGAGTTATTTTAAAATGAAAGAAGTTTTGAAATAATCATTAAATTTAACCTAAATTATTAATTTAATCTATAAATTATTGACAGTTTTAAAAATAAAATTTTAATTGACTAACTACATATAGGTACACTCTCAAAATACAACAGTATATAACAAATGATTTCAAATTTGTACAAACATATTGAATATACCTTAAATTCGGTGAAAATTTAAAATGTATTTTACATGTATTGCAAGATAACTTTTTAAATTAGTTGAAAAATGATATAAATAATTCTATGTCGAATTTAGTGTTTTTAGACTTACATTTTTACGGTATAGTGCAAATTAGAGATAAAGCAGGTGCAGTTTGCTACGATAATGGATGCTATATATCTATGGGGTTGAGTGTGTTGGGCACCTTCCAGATCCTTTCACCATACCAAACGAAACTCCTTTCCTTCTTCCAAATCCTAATTCACAATCTGCAGATTTTCCGATATTGATCGCAATTATCGATTCGTTCATCTGCGGTTTGCTTTTTGCTATTCCAATTTTGTTAACAAAGAAGAAGAAGAAGCAAATCGGAACACAATGGGAGAACGCAAGTCTTTATCTAAGAAAAAATCTTCCAAAAAGAAGAGACTCAAAGTTTCTTCTAAGGTATTTTTTTCAACTCTCCTTTTCGATGCTTTCCATTTTTTCACATAATTACATTCGTTTTGCTTGCTCAGCATTATGTATAATGTTCGTGTATGGTTTGTTGCTTTTTTTTTTCTATTTAGTTTTGAATTTCTGTGTATAGCTATGTATTTTAGGGTTTATCTTCATTGATAGGTTATTGAACTATGAGAATGTATTCGGTAAAGTCATTGAACTTTATTTTGTATCAAATAAAATGGTTTTTATTTCAATATTCGTAAAAGATCATTGAGCTATGAGAATTCTTCGTTGATTTGGTTGGCTTATGTTTTTTTTTGTTTTCTGAATTAATTTTTGTGATTTAATTGAATATGTGCTAATGTCCTTTTGTAGTGATGCTCGTAGTTCTCTTTTTACTGGTAGTGGAATTAGGAAAATGAATTAAAGATAATGGTTAGTTATCTGCTATGTTGCTTGGACTCTCCAAAAATGTTTGTTGCACCCATGTTGGATCCTCCCAAAATACACTAGTTTTTGGAGGATACAACACACACCCAGCAGCATTTTTGAAGTGTCCGAACAATACAAGTTATATGCACCCTCTGTTGAACGCAAGTCCAAGCAACATATGGTAATTAGCTGGTTTAACTTTTGGGTCTTTTCATGTATGTATCATCAGGGGATTTTTTTTCGGGATGAAAATTAAGATAGCCGTTCTTTTAGCTAAAAATTAAAATGAAACTGTTTTCCAAGAACAAGGGTCAAAAAGTAGTTCAGAAGTTTGGTTTTTTGGGTACAATACTTACATGAGTTTACATTACTGAATTGGGAGAATATAAGTCCTGCTCCTTCCTGTTTGTTTTGAAGGGATTATTTTCATGTAAATTTGTTAAAAATACGTTCATATTCAAATCTGTAATACGGTAAGGCTTCATGTGATATAGCTCATGATTGCTCGTGGGAGTGTTAAGTCACATAGTCATTTGAATTGCTATAGTTAGAGTTCCATGAATCGGTTATTTTCTTTGTATATTTTTTGTTTTGTGCACTATCCATAAAATGACCTCAGTGGAGAAAATCTAGAGTTATTTATGAAAAGAAACAATTATCTGCACCTGTTAATACTTGGTAACTTTTAGAAGCCACCATTGAAAAACAGATATCTAAGATATTTCAATTTGTAATTCCTTAACTGACACTCAGGTGAAAGAATTATGAAAGACTTTATAATGCTTGATCATGCCAGCACACTTTATACACTCTTTATTGAATATATCTAATACCAAATATTCACAGAGATGTTTTCATGAGAAATTGCATTATATTTTAAATCAATATTAGGCATGCTTTCTGTTGAACAATGTAAGGTGGTATCCTGCTTTCTTATCGATACATTCTCATCTTGTCTTTGGCAATTCCAATTTATTATCCTTCATTATACATCTTCATATGTTGTGTGGTTAGATACGGAAGAGAAAAAGCAGAAGAAACAAATCCAAGAAGTTGTCCAGTTCTGAGGATGACTCATCATCTTCTGCTTCCTCTGATTATTCTAGCAGTTCACAGTCTTTGTCCTCCAATTCAGAGGTTGATTATAGTAGGAAAAGGCGTAGGCACTCACGTGATATGAAACGCGTGAAGAAAAGAACTTGGAGAAGATCCTCTAGCCAAGATGTGAGTGAGGGTTCACCCCCTGTAAAGAAAAGAAAAAGGTCAAATAGAAAGAGTCTTGATTATGGGAGAAAAGTGCAGAAGAAAAAGCGAAAGAGACACGCTAGTATTAGCTCCACGAACAGTGACTCAAGAAGTTGTTCTAGTTGTCAACGTGAAAACAGTGTTAGCTCCAGAGGTAGAGATTTTAAGAGCTTTTCCACTTGCCGTGATGAAAATAATAGTGTTAATAAGGACACCAATCTTCAGATTCCCAGGATTAAGTCTAGAAAAAAGATGAAAGAAAAGAAAATCCACAATGAGCCAAGCACTGGCAGAAGGAGCAGAAGTTGGGGGCCAGTTTGTTCTTTATGTGACCATCATTCATGTTCTTGCAATACTACTCATAATGGGGAGGAATATGTGGAAGAGAGTAATCCTAAGCGCTTAAGATCTGTTATTACTATTCCAGCAAAGACACATGAAGAAGAGGGTAACGAACAGGGACCAGATATGCTTAAAGAAGAGATTTTGAATAAGCACCATGATTGTCCTTCATGCACAAACCATGACAATAATGACCTGGAAATTAAAGGGAAATTAGCTTCTTGTTCTTGTTTCCCGTCTATCCAAAGAATGCAGGATGGAAATTTGACAATTGATGAAACCTTTGGCCCCACAAAAGTTGATGGTGGTCTGGATCCTCATCGAAATATAGTCAAAGAAGTAAGTCATGATAATGGAGGTGAGAGTGGGAATTCTGATAATATTGCTAATACAGGAATTGAAGATCTTGAGAATGTTTTAAGAAAAAAGGCGTTGGAGAACTTGCAGAAATTTCGTAAAGAGTTTCAAACAAATTTAAAATCTGGTGCCAAGGAAAAGAAGAATGGCAGTGATATTAATCAGTTATCCCCTCCAAAGACTGAAGTTGTACCATACAAGTCTCTGGAGCATGGGGAAAAAGATGGATTGGCTTTAAATCAAGATGTAAAATTTAGAAGCAAACTTGTAACTACTAAGGAATTTTCTCATTCCACAGAGATTGAGATAAATACTCCAGTCGAAAAGAATAATGGAAAAGGATCTGGTTGCTTTGAGCCGTGTGTTACACAACTTGCTGATAGATCAGCACTCTCACAGAGTCCAGAACAGGAGAACCATACCACTGAACCAGTTCTTAGCAATGAACCTGAACCTGGTAAACTATTATGTAGTACCACAGTACAGACATATAAAAAGGAAAATTCATTGGCTTCCAAGAGAAACATAATTAAAACACCAGTTCCCTTGAGACCTGGAGTTCTTAGCACTGGGACCAGCGATAACTTAGACATGGAAGCTGTTAATGCCGGTATCCGTCCCACTTTAGAAACTTCTAGTGCCAGATCCACATCTGATGGACTTGCTTCAAAACACCAGCCTGATGAAACCAAGGATGCCTCTGAGTTTGAACAAAAGACCATGTCTGTAATGAGGGGCGGTGAGATGGTACAGGTATTATATTCGTATTTCATTATTTATGCATGTTAGGCTGGGATTTTTCAACTCCACAGTTGATCAATAATCCTACAAGTAAATAAATAAATGGCCTGTATTTTTAGATTCTTTAAATTGTTTCTGATTGTTTAAACGATTGAATATTAGAGATATTGATAGAAATCATCAGTTATAATGAAGTAATAGTGACCACTAAGTAATTCTTATTATAGATTTTTTTTAGCAATAGCCAAACACTGATAGTGGGAATGGGGGAGCAAACTATTCTCTCTCACAGGCTTCTTATTTGGTAATCTTTCAAGGATTTACTCTACTGGAATTTCATTGCTAGAGATAGTACTAGCATATGTTTTCATATTTTGGACCTCTTGCCTCGGCCAAACAGATATGGTAATATACATTGCTTTGTTGTACTTATATGTTGCGTTTCGGCTAATCATTGGATTTACTTTTACCTGATTTTAATTATAGAAAAAAAACAAATGTGTGCTAATCTCCACTTATTTGGACTTTTAGATTTCTTTAACTTAGAATGTTTATGCGAGTCACTTGAAGCTCCTCTTATGTACCAAGTCTTTACAAAGCTTGAGTATTCTTACCATCTCACATGATTATGTTGGCCAGGTAAACTACAAGGTCTACATCCCCAAGAGGGCTCCTGCTCTGTCCAGGAGAAAACTCAATCGGTGATGAGGCTCAGTTAAATTTTCATGCCAATTTAATTTCATTTGTAGATTATTAATCAAATTTGGTGTGCTGAGACTGAGTCAGGACTTAGGTGCTAGTTGGCTGAATTCAGATGTTC